TGTCATCGCCATCGGTGTCGGCGTTTTGCGCCAATGACTGCAACAGACGTGTGTAGGCGTCGGATATGTTGGCGATGGACACGTTCACCACAATTCCGCCGCAAAGACTCAGTTTGAGCTCAAAGTCCGAGATCTGTTGGACGCAGCCATACATCACAATCCCTTCCGGCAGTCGATACACAGACATCGTCTCAATGATCACTTTGTCCTCATTGGTGGCCACAGTGTTATCGTCGCCGTCGGTGTCAACCTTCCTTTTCGTCCTCCGCTTCTTAGTCTTGTGTCCATCCCTTTGGCCATCGCTTGCGATGCGACGCTTCCGGACGCCAAACAATTGGTCCTCAGATGACGGCAACGTCGAAGACTTCCGTGTCTTGAGTTTGGTCTTATGTGTCGGCAGCGATGGCTTTCCGCGTATGAAATCCGTGCTCTTCTTCGACTGCACCGCCGATGAACTCATTGTGTCTTAGAATTGGTGTCCAAAGAGTTGTTTCAAATGAAAGCCGAAATCAACTCAAACTTTGAACACATTTTTGTGACTTTTGAAACATGTGTTTATTATATGGAAACCAATGATGTCTTTGAATTGTGTATACAATGGGGACTCAAATGCATTGCAAACCATACATCAGTCAGTTTGGGGACTCATATAAGTGTAGACATTATGGATGAACAGCAAAGTCATGCTGTTTTGCATTGCATCGCAAAGTGTCTATCGCTGGTAGACTACACGTGCGACAGAGGGCTGTCGTCTATGCACTGGTAGTTGAAAAACTTTGACGCGGCCGAGAATTTGCTACAAATATGATCCATACCATGGAATCCATAGCCCGTTTGTTCGCTTATTCAAACGAAAGAATATAACACATACTGTACTTCAATTTTACAATTGAACACTTTTACCTAGCTCCTATAAACTACATAAGCTCCTGTATAACCGATATGCTAAGTTACTGGAATATTTCACCATGGCATCTTTAAAACATATTTATTTATAATAATTTAATTCATAGAATCTCTATACTTATAATAAATACAAATATAATGCTTTATTCATGAAAACAGTAAAATTAGTGGCGATTTATATATTATGGGCAAAAAACAGTTGAGTTGTGTCTAAATGGCCATCAAATTAAAACAATCAAAACGGTAATCAATGGGTAAATGTAGTCCAAAAGCAATACAAAAAACACGTATTAATGTTAACTATTATTAATGGTGTTACTAGTGATGAGTTGTTTGAGTTTTTTGACGACAGTATCGCTTTTGCTCTTCTTCTCCCTCTCATTCTTCGTGAGCGACGCGAAGATCGTCTTCTTCTTCTCGCCCTCCCTTAGCTTCTCGAGGAGCGTGAGGGCAGNCGTATTAATGTTAACTATTATTAATGGTGTTACTAGTGATGAGTTGTTTGAGTTTTTTGACGACAGTATCGCTTTTGCTCTTCTTCTCCCTCTCATTCTTCGTGAGCGACGCGAAGATCGTCTTCTTCTTCTCGCCCTCCCTTAGCTTCTCGAGGAGCGTGAGGGCAGTGCTGGGGTTGACCCGCAAGTACTTAGACTCCTGTTTGCCATAATCGGCGAAGTAGTTGCTCCACGAATCCATTTCAGTGAACAGATCCATGAGTTGTCTCAGTTCGGCGAAACACAGCTGAAGAGAGCCCTCTTCGAACTCGCGGACCGGTTCAGAGCTGGCGAAGAGCTCGCATTGAATCAGATCCAGATTGAACTGCTGAAGGACTCCCCACGACATGCACTTCACCTCCTCGTCCATCAGGAAGTGTAGGAGCGAAGAGGCGATGTGTTTGCATGCGGACAGACACGCCGTTTGGGCCACTTTGAGGGGTAGGTTTGTGAACGCCTCGAACGTACTCTTGAGGAACGCTATTAGATCTGATATGTAAGGCGATGCCATTCCCGGCGACTCCACTAACATCCAGTCATAATTGGCTAACTCTAAGAACTCATCGATTTTCTGGTTGAGACGGATGTAGATCTGCGACTCGGCGTCGGCCCGGATGTCCTTAAACATAGTGCGCCCCTGAAGTCGCGCCAAATGACTCGAGTCTATGGCGGACGGCATTATACTGTTGGGTGAGGTGACCGACACCACCGACGACTGGTTTATGGTTTTGGAGATAAAGTCCTCCAAATAGATGGACGAGTCCTCCAAATAGTTGGTATTTATAGTGATTTGAATCAATTGAAGTAAACCTAAGTTGGGTTTCTTTATGAGACTAGAGAGGCATTCATTGAGAGTTCGGGTCAGCAATAGGTTTGTCGATTTGCGAACCCTGTCCTCGATCTCCGTCTGATTGAGGTTCAGGTCTTCGCTGAACTTAAGACACGTGTAAATGAATTGTTTGACTTCTCTATAGATTTTTGGCACAAACGACGAAAAGGGAAACTTTTTGGGGAACTCTGCGTTCGCCTGAAGGGACACCACTTCCGTCTCATAGAACGGGAACTCGTTATTCACTTCCATATACTCGGACTGATTGTTCACTTGAATGGGATGGTAGGTGTCGGCGTCGAAGATGGTTTTGAACACATGGACCCATTGTTTCATAAGGATGTCGTTGTATTGATCCCTCATTTCGACCAATAGGTTCATCAAAAGTGACACATTATAGCCGTACGACTGGAGCGTATAACTGAATAACATAATCAAGTGCTTGATTTTAAGCATCAGGTGCCCGTC